AGAGCAGAGGCAGCCCGGCTGTATCCCACGTCCTGATGCACTTGCAGGAAAGCATGCTTGGCCTGGCCCTGGAAGATGGGCACCTGTCTGGGGACTCCCGGGTCTCCTGTACCTGCTGAGTGCCAGGCAAGCTGGCTGTGGGGACCAGAGGGTGGCTCTGCAGGGAGACTCTGCCCCGGCGGGGTCCCCTTGTCTCACATCAGCCTATGGTGACCTTCACCTCCTTGCCTGTAGTCCTACTGCCTGGGCCCCTTTGACCTCATCAAAGTGCGGCTGCAGAACCAAACGGAGCCCAGGCTGAAGCCGGGGAGCCCGCAGCCACGGTACCGGGGCCCCCTGCACTGCATGGCCTCCATCCTGCAGAAGGAAGGGGTCCAGGGGCTGCTTCGCGGCTCTGGCACCCTGATGCTGAGGGATACCCCGACACTGGGCATCTACTTCGTCACTTACGAATGGTTCTGCAGATATTCCACCCCCAAGGGCCAGGAGCCCAGTAAGTGCAGTGGCCTGAGAGTTGGGGGTGGGGGGGGAGCGGGTTTAGGGAGCAGGCTAGAGTCCCGGGAAGACTAGCTGACTCTTGTCCCTTGACCCCACCTCCCCAGGCTCAACCACTGTGCTGGTGGCCGGTGGCTTCGCCGGCATTGCCTCCTGGGTCACAGCCACGCCCTTGGACGTGATCAAGTGTCGCATGCAGATGGACGGGCTGAAGGAGCGGCTGTACCGGGGCGTGGTGCACTGCATGGCCAGCAGCCTGCGGCAGGAGGGGCCCGGCGTCTTCTTCCGAGGGCTTACCATCAACAGCGCTCGTGCCTTCCCCGTGAACGCCGTCACCTTCCTCAGCTACGAGTACCTCCTCCGCTGGTGGGGCTGAGGTGGCCAGGGTAGGCCTCAGCTGGCAGTGCACATGCCAGAGGTTCAGCCCTAGGGGCCGGCCACACTCACATCCTCATCCATCAAGGGCCTCCTCCCCCCACGGAACTGGGGCCTGGGCGCTGGCCGGCGCTGGCTGGGATCCAGAGCGGGTCTCAGACCCCAACAGCACGGGCTACTAGCACACCCTAGTGTCCCATGTCTGTCCTCGAAGCAGGTGTGACAAGGTGCGAATCAACAGCCAAAGGTGCCCACAACTCCCCTGGGGCCAAGCGCTATTACCTTTGTGCCCTGTCTCCCACGGAGGTCTCCCTTGGGCTGTCTCCTGACCATGCCTTCTGGACTCTCTGGCCACACCACACTTCCCAGCCTCCTGCCCCCCGGGGCCACAGCTGCAGACTTGGCTTCAGTCTCCAGGGAGCTGGAGCACCTGGCGCTGGGATCGCCAATCGTACCTCTCATCTCCCAGCCCCAGGCCAGTGCCCGGAGCCGGGGATGTGTTCAGTAAACATTGCTACACAGCCTTCTACTGTCCGTCTGTCTCCCCTCGGCCTCCCCTCCAGCCACTACTTGCTTGGGCCTTGTCTCTGTGGCCTCTCCTGGGGACCCCCTACGGAGCTGTCCCAGCGGGCTGGTGAGAAGTGGGAGGGTGTCCTTTGAGATGGCGTTTGTTGACCAACAGAAGGGGACACTGCCCGGTCCTGTGCCCTCTTCACACTGTCCTTAGGTTGCAGCCATTGTGTCCATCCATCTCCTCTTTTTCAGTGCCCTCTCTCTCGTTACTGAGCGTGATGTCCTTCTCCGGGGACTGGTCCCTCCTGGCACCCTCTCAGGGAGCACTCAGCCCGTACTTCTACCAAGACAGGTGTGTCCATTCTTGGGGA